AAGAGTGCTCTCAGCAGAGAGAACTGTGAGTGCAAAGACCCTTCTGGGAGAAGCAAGACAAAACACAGGACTAAAAGCAGGTCCAAATGTTTGGAGCAGCAGGCATGAGGGAGCATATGGATCAAGGTGCCAGTGCGCCTGTGCAGGACCTCGTTGGCTATATTTGTCCTCATCCTAAGGCTTTTGTGAGGTCACCGAAGAGTTTTAAGCAAGGGTAGAATGATAAGGTTTGTGTTTTGGAAAGGTCACTTTGCTGACCTGATTGGAAAGGGAACCAAGTGTGTGTGCTAGGCCAGTTAAGAAACTCTAGTAGTTGTCCACATGACAGGCAGTGGTACCTTGGGCTGTGGTGGTGATGTGGAGGTGGAGAGAAGTGTACGGATAAAAAGCAGTTTCATGGATAAAAAGCAGTTTCATAGATAAAATGACAGGATTTGGAAATAGACTGAATCGAAGGGAGAGAGAATGACTCCTGGGTTTCTGGTTTGTGGAATGGAATGGATAGCTGTGCAATTCTTTGAGCTAGGGAATACTGGAAAAAACCTAACAATTTTTGGTAGGGGAGAAGACCATGATTTGGATGTAAACATAGGAATCTGAAAATACCTTTGAGGCTCCAAAAAAATGTCAGAGAGGCAGTTGGATTGATGGGATGGAGCTGAGAGGAAACACGTGGGCTAAAAAAGGGTAAATTTGTGTGTTGCTTTCATTTAAGTGGGAGGGCAAGATTCAGTGATTCTTGAACCTGGATTGTAAATGCCCACAACTGGGCATCTAAGTATATTTTAACCTTTACAGGTGATTTTAAAATGCAGCCAGGATTGAGATTCTCTATTTAAACCACATTTTTTTTTTTTTTTTACCAAATGTCTTTGTCTTTCTGCTCATGTAGCTTATTGATCTTACTTGCTTCTTATAGATACCATTTACTCTTACCAATGTCTCTCTCTCTGAATATCTCCTAGCTCATTGTCTGTCTCTGTGACAAATCTCCTGACCTGTAGTTCTCAATTTTCAGTTTCTACAGTTCATATTTACTTGGGTGTCTCACCATTACTTCAGATGTAACCTACCCAAATCCAAGCACTTCTTTGCAATGTTTCCCCATTTTTCTCAGTCGTAACATTATTTTCTTCAAATCACTCAAGCTAGATGATGGCGTCATCGATTCCACTCAGATTTATCTCTTCTTACCAGCACAGCTGTTAACACCATGATTTCATGCCCTCAGGTTGGGATATTGCAGTAGGCTGTAGCATGATGGCAAGAGCGTGAGCTCAGGAGGCAGACCCGGGTTCCAAACCTAGCTTCTTCACTTGTTAGCTGTGAGACCTTGGACAACTTCTATGACTCTGCCTCTTGTGTATACAGTGGCCATAATACTGTCCCTTGCCTTATAAGATAATTGTGGGTAAAACACTGGTATTATGTGGTCTCACTTTCCTTTGTCTCTTCATGTATTTTTAATAGAACTTTTTGTGTAGCCATTGCCGAATAGGTCTTATTTCCCCTCCTGGTAAGTTCTTTGGGGGCTTTATTTTATTCGTCTTTTTCTATTTTCTTACCATCCCATCTCCTTCACCCAGGCTTACAAAAGGGTCTTATACATCGTAGATATTTAATAAATACTTATCGAATCTCATGTCTCTCCTCTACTGCCTCATGTGGCTTCTTGCTGATCACTTTGTGTTAACTCATGCAGTTAGGACAACGTAATCACACCCCACACGTCCAGTCTGATTTCTCACTACTTTGCTTTCAGACTCCACTTGAGTTAGTTTGAAATGTCATTATCAATGCCATCTCTTTGCCTTTGCTCATCGTACCATTCTCTGGATCTGTTCCCCTCACTCATCCTACCCAGTTGCTCCACTCAGTTTGGACTCCACCTCATCTGAGCAGAGTGCCCCAACAACCCCGCCCACACTGATATGTTTTGTCTTTTTAATTCCTGTAGCATCTACAGTCTGGGCGTTATACTACAGCTATAAATTATATTTGCCCTCTGTTCTTGGCTATAGATGAATTTCCTCATCTGATTAATGCCAGCTACCTCACAGTTATGGAGGTTGATATGGAATGAGTTTAAGCAAGCAGTCTGTAAACTATAGAGTGCTGTGCACATCTTATTTATTGTTCATAGATATTTATCCTTTTTATGCTACAGTCTCCTTGAGGTCAGGGATTATATGTTTTTCGAAAGACCCTCAGCAGTGCTAGACACATAGTAAATGTTTGGGTAAAACTTGCCAGCTGGCTAACCTTATTTTAACTATTTTTTTCTTATAGGAGCTATTCATCACTAATGAAAGTTGAGAATATGTCTTCAAATCAGGTATGTTCAAGTTATTTGGTCTAATGTTGTACCTTGAAATAATTCACTAAGGGTGTTTAATAATTAAGTTACTGGCCAGTATTAACTCACATGTTGCAGATGGCTTGACACGATTTGGTAACTGTAGGATGCTCAGGTGAATTCTCTTAGGCATTGCCCCTCCTTCCGTGTGGACTTACTTATGTATTTGTTTTTAAGTAGGTCACCTCATGTCGTACCTTGTCGTCAGGTGCAGCCTATTAGTATTTACAGGACTTTCACATTCCTCATTTCCTTCTTTTCTAGTTGCAGGCATGCAAGACTACTGTTATTTTTAATATGTGATATTAATGTGACTGTAGATTGTAATTGAGTGAGAACAAAATTATCACCTTCAATTAAAAACTAAAACAGAAGTATTAAATCTAAGATCTTATCTGTAATTCAGGTGACCACGTTGGCTGTTTTCATGTTCCTCAGGACCTAAGATAAAGAGGAATGGTCATCCCTAGTACAGTGCTGAAAGGATCTTAGCATTAACCTGATTATTTTACTGAAATTATGTCAGGGACTTATTGTCCATCAGTACTGTCTTTCCCAAAATTCATTTCGAAGTATATGGAGATAGCACGGTTTAGCTCTTATTAAACAGTATTTGCACAAAATTGAAACTGAGTGAGATTTGCTGAATTGCATGTTTTGCAGTATAATTTACAAATAAGTGCTTTAGATCAGTGTTCTACAATGCACTAGGCATTGATTGCATATGGCTATTTAAATTTAATTAAAATTTAATTTGATTTAAACATTTAGTTTCTCAGTCATACTGACCATATGTGGCTAGGGACTACCATATTAGTGCAGAAATAGAATGTTTCTGTCATCACAAAACATACTAATAAAACAGCACAGCTTTAATGCTTAGAAATAATAGAATTTAAGGTCCCTTAAAAGGTTCTCTACTCAAACCCCATATTTGGTGCATGAATTAGGATGTTAATAGGATTTTACTTCTTGTTCATATCTGTATATTCTTCTAAAAATAAATAAGAACAATATCCTTATTCCTGTCTCTGTGAAGAACTAAATTTATGAGGCTTCTTTATGAGTTCGAGATGTATCTTTATAATTTATTCTTGAAAAATTCTGAAGTAGCATTATGTAATTAAATAGAGCTTTGAATTTGATGTTTAGAAACAAACTGTCATTTACTAATTGGATAAGGCTAATAAAGTTATTTAACTTCTCTGGGGGTATATTCAATAGCAACGAAGACATTAGAAGACATTACCTCATGGAGCTGTTCTGAAATTTAAACAAGGGCACATATGTGAATGTTCTTTGACTTAGTCACTCTGTGAATATAAATGGTCATTTTTTCTTATCCATAAAGTCCATAATTGCCATTTTCCCACAAACTCTCAGTATCAGAAAGCGAGATGTTTTTAATCTCTTCTGGGAACTAGTCTTAGATTTCTTGAAACTCTTAAAACAGTTAAACAGAAGTCTTAAATATACTTCAAATCTAATGTCTCTGTTGTAATGGTTTTTGCTTATTGATGGTTTATTTATTCAGGGGTTACTTTCCAGCAGACATCTGGCACCTAAATTAAGTTATGATTTTAGATATTTTCATTCTCATCATTATGGATTTTTAAAATAAGCACAACACACACATACATATGAATATACATATATGTACACGAACACCATCTGGTTATTGACAGATGTTGAAAGTGCCAGGATTAGGAAATCAGATTTGTAGACCAAAGGAGAACTAATCCTTCTCCTTTTCCTCTCCCTCTGTTGCTTACTACCCCTGTTCCTGAGTTCCAGGTTAGAATCAGGTTCAAGTTTCCAAGGAAGTTTTGTACTGGGTGTTTATTCTCTCTCTTGCAGTGGCAGGACGCTTACAGCTTTTTTTCTTATTTCAAAAGAATAAGTTTTAATTCTCCTGTAGCCGTCTTCTGTTGAGGGCATACAGACTTTTTATGATCCAAGTTGGCAGCGTATTCTGTTGATTTTCAGTTGAAGACGTAAGATAGAACTTGATTTTTAATTTAGCTCATACAAGTTCATCAGGAAAACTTATTTTCACTTTGAGGTTGGTTTTGAGTTTCCGCTCTCCTATTTAGAAAAATTTTTTTCTATCTATAATTTCTGTCTAATCTTTGTAAATTTGGTATCAGGAACCATAAACAATTACTTTTAACATTTTATTTCCTTTCACTTTATAAGCGGATGACAGGAAACCTATTTTGCTATATTGAAAAACATGTTGACTCTTTAAGGGAATCTAAACTATAAAAATTGTCCAAATAAAGTCTTGGATCTCAGATATGTATTTAAAAGTTACTGTAATCCTAAAATACAGATTCTGAGCCACATGGGAACTCTTTGCAAGTATAACTCACAGCCTTTATGAGTAATGCACTTCCATTGTCACCCATCTGAATTATATTAGCAAGTTTTTCATCCTGAGTTTGGGATCTAACGCTGACCTTCAAAGATACAGGATGACTCTTTCAACATCTCTAATGCTATTATTCAGTTTAGGACTCTAGGGCAGTAGAGAATGTAGCTGCTTATCCAGATCTTCTAAACAACTAACAATTTAAGGCAGAGAAGTTATGAGTGAATTTAATTATCTTTTACTTTCTGAGCTCTATGATTAGGCATAAGGAGGCTTATTTCTTAAGACTGACTATAAAGTTTAAAAATTGGGTTATTTATTTTGAAGGCTTTTATGGTTTCATTTTTTTGTTTCCTGCAGGACGGCAACGATTCAGATGAATTCATGTGAATGGAGAAAAGGACCTTTTAAAGATGTGAATTTAGGACAGTTGCAGACATTTTGATTCCATCTGTGTTCTGAATTACAAAAACAGCCAAAATTTTGTGTTCATTCTACACAAATATCAACTTGGGAGTTAAAAAAAAAAATTGTTCATTTTTTTGCTGAGAGATAGGGATCATATATATATACTTGGACTTGAAGACAGCATATAACTTTAGGAAAGTGAAAATATTTTTGCCAGAACATGTCTTGGTACTTTACTTCATGAAAGTTGGCTGCCTTTATTCCTGGGATAGACTTTGGAACAAACCAACTCTGAAAAGTATTTTTGGTACTGTAGTCTGTCCTTGAAAACAGATGTCTCGAAAAGCTTTTCATAGTCTTAAAATAGCTTCACTTCTGTTAAAAAGACTGTATTGGAGAGCAATATATAGGAATATCCCCCTCACTCTCAATTTCCTGAGTAGAAAAAAAAGCATATTGGTTTTGAAGGTAATACTGATATTTTCAGATAATTGCTGGCTTCAGTATTCACGTTCCATTGTGTAGTCTGAGTCGGTTAGCAAGTGGTCCTCAGCTCTCAGCTTGCTCTAGCTTCTACTTTCTACATCCTTACTTTTTCTGAGTGAGGGCCTCCAACCATCATAGTTAAAGGAATAGTCAGTGTTAATCAAGGTTGGGCCTTGGTGGCAGTTTTTACTTGAGCACCAGATGACCCAAGCCACGTAAATTACAACTTCGAGCCTGGAGTCATTTCTCAGCACTGAGGGAGAAATAGGAAGGGCTGCTCTGTGAATCATTTTGAAGGTGTAGGTTACCTTGTTTTTGTTTTGGAATACAGTATAAAGCAGAAGTCCATGTTGTAATTATGATTTTAGAAAGAATTAAGCATTTCATTAGCCAGCCAAGTAATTTGTTTATTTACCTTGAAATAATATTTATTTTGAATTATAACCCCAGAGTTTAGATTTCTCAATTGTAGACTCAGTAACTTAATATGTAACAGCACTACTGTTCAAACCACCTGCTTGTCAGTATGATTCTGAATAGAAGATACATTTTTGCTGAAGTGTGTAAGGCCGCCCCTGTAAAGAGACAAAGCAAAACAATGAAAGGGCAAGAGAACAAAGCCTGCAGGTCAGAAGGCATATGAATTCACATTCGAACCACACCCAGAGTGAACATACAGCATTTTTGTTCTTGTTCTTATTCTAACCCAGGAAAAATCTCTAACAGATTCTGTCGGTATTAGCACTTTGGGAGTGTGGGTAAAAGCAGAAGACTTCAGTGTTTCTATTTATCCCAAGTTGGTGTATGGGGTTGAACTGGAAAATTCCCTGAGGCATAGCTCGGCTAAATTTTGAGATGGAGTATGGGAGACAACACCAGAAATTAGTGGCGGGGGTGTGTGTGTGTGTCTAATGATATTCAACCTGGAGTTCTGTGATTTAAAAATATAATAATAAAGAATCATTTTTTATGGAAAGACTGATATATAAATTCTTAGAATTCGCTTGTTATCCCCATCCCCAAGCTGGTTGTGAAAGGACCCTGGCTTTAAAAAACCGCATCTATCATAGGCTCAGTCTGGCAGGTTGTACAGGGGTATCATCTCCTCCCTCACTGGTAAATGCATCTCTCCCCCAGAAGCCCACTGAGCCAAAGAGGATGACCTTTCCCAGACACATTGTTAATTGAGTGTAAGTTAGTAGCCATGCTCTTCTGCCTGGTTACTGTAGACACTTCTTTGACACTCTGCTGCGAATATCTAAAATGGGGAGATTTTACCTCGGCATCACCTGCGTCACCTCAACTTTCTACTTTCCGAAGGACTCCTCTGTACCCCACATTGCAGCATATGTAGATCGAGCTTTTGAAAACTACATCTTTTTCTGCTGTAGTGTAAGAGATCCTGGAGTCCAGATTTTAAATGTTTCATAACACTCAGCTTATGCTGGCTTAAAATGTCAAGCCCTCTTCTGAATTCTCAGTTGAATTCCAAGCACTTGAATCTTTTCAGCTGCTCTGTGCTGATTTCCTCCTACCTCTGCCTGTGTGTTGGGTTAATTTTTCCCCAGAGCTGTCTTGGTCCCAGAGAGAGCAAAGATCTTTTTTTTTTTTTTGAGGACACTGGTTCAGTGCCAACAGGTCAGACCGTTGACACTAAAGTCATCTCATTTCTTGCTATTGGCATGTTTCCTAAACTTCCTATAGGAAAATTCCAGGTTTTTGGTATTTTTCTAAGCTGTGCCCTTGATCAGATTCACTCATCCTGGAATATTTGTCTTGCCAGCTCTGCCTCTAGTTTCCTCACTGTGTTTGATCTGCACGTAGGTAAGGTTCACATTGTTATTTAATCTACTTCACAAACTCTGTTTTGTTATATTCCTATAGCCTTAGAATTTGTTTATGTTGATCTAGGGTTCTCATCTATGGGCAAGGGAGCTTTGTCACAGTGCTTTTGCTAGAACAGGTATTGGGGAAGTATACCAAAGTATGGAAGGCTTGTACATTAACAAAAGGCATTAGGCTTTACTTGAACCCTCATCTTTTGTTTGATTGTACTGTTTTCAACTTTCTTGAAGCTCGGATTTTGGCGAGCCTTATAACTGTTTAGTGCCCATGGTTTTCCCCGCCCAGAAAGGAAGAGGTGGCCCACGTACAAGCAAGATTAGAGAGGGAGAGTTCAGCTCTGGCCTCCAGCTTAGGACTTCCTCCCGCTTTTGCATCTGTCTGAGAGGGGAAGCTCCTGTTTTCCAGGCTGGACCTGGTTATGGGAAAAACTGAGCAGGATGGAGAAATGGAACACTTGTTCAGTTATTCCTGAGCTGTGATATTGAAGCCTGCTTTTTCTCTATTTGATTTGAAGCATGGCATTGTGAATAACAAAATCCCACACTCGGAATGATTGTAGTAGGGTGAGTGGGTGACCTTTGATTTTAAAGTAGACTGTAAAAAATAAACTGTAATCAAAAGTGTAAAATTAGAAACTTAAAAGTCCGAGCTAAATGTCAGTCTGAACCCATCTAACTCCAGTGAGTATGTGACAGCTGAGAAATGAGGACAGCACTCGTGCCAAATAGGCTCTTCTCCAGGCACTCGTGGGTGAGAGACTTTTATGAGCCTTATATCGTTTCACAAATGAGATGATGCCAACCATATGTTCGTCATGTCCTGGATGAATGATACATAAAATATAATGAAAGCTTATAGTTTGAGTAGAACCAAGTGTGTGTGGTTCTACCAAGACTTACTTAGTCTCACCAATAGGATATACATACTTATTTCAAGCAAATAGGGAGGAGATTCTTGGCTACCTGAAAATGCCTGTGGAATATACCACGTACTGACCATGGTGTAAGAATATGCATACCTCTGTCTTTCTGTCTCACCTTGATTGCTTCCTTTCATGGTTGTATCAATTATTGTGGGGATGCCCAGCTTTCCACCTTAGCGGTGGTGACTATAGTTCTGCACTGTAGCCAGATGAAATAAGAAACAGGTCTCTGCTGTCGGCAAGCGCCAATTGGCATTGGCTTGGCATTTTCTGCCTTTGTTGACAGCCAAGGAATGGAAGCCAGGGGAAATGAATGCTCACTCTAGAAGTCCCATGTAACTTTTGCTAGTTTCCAAGCCTGGTGAGTGGGTGTCAATATATAACGCTGAAAAAAAGAAGGAATTCTCCAGAGTCAGTATTGTTTTTCATTCCCACATCAACCCCATCCTGTAACCACAGCAGTAAAAATATAAGACTAATGGCCTGACATTGTACTTCCTGCCTAGATGAGGCCGTAGCTGCCTGCACTCGTTCTGGTATTTTGGTTTCTGCCTCAGCAGTTTGCCTTGCATAGAGAAGGCTAACATTTGCTTATGATTTCTGGGACATGCTTATGAGAATGGGACCTTTCAGGTGTACAGGCTGGTCTGTTGGTCTTGAACCTTTTTAGCTCTTTGGTTAAATTCAAGGTCAACAGGTCAAAATTACAGACTGAAAAAGGTAGAGAAGAAAATAGTAGAGGCAGTGTGCCTATTTAACTAGCTCAGATTTACCAAGGTTATCTTCAGTTGTGAATCCTTAGCTTCATTATATTACATCCCTTCTGAAACTTTTATTTTACAGTTAATGTACTCAGCATCAATGAGGCTTACATAACTTTTTTCAAAATGAATTGCTTTAAGAGTTTAGAAAGGAATGGAAGGTCTGAAATAGACAAAGCTTAAATTTGGTCCCAGAAAAAGCTTTACTGGTGCCTAAGGTTGGAAGAAGTTTCCTTTTTCAACAAGAAGGGAGAAGGCAGTCTGTGTTCCTGCCCCCACCTCTCAAAGCGAAGCCCTCCCTGCTTGGTCTCTCATCTGCCATGGTGGAAAGCGTTATGCTGCCATTTTTAAAACTTATTGACAGGGGCTTTGTAACAGTGAAGCCTTGGGGAACAGACCAGTGCATGGATTACCTGGACTTTTTTTCTCCCTCACTTCTGCCACTCATATGTCAGGGATTAAAGAGGGTAAAAGATACATGCAAACCTTCCCTCACTTCATGTAGCAGACGACTCCCTCCATTCAACTCAACTCCGGGCTTCCAAGTTGGGAAGAAGGTTTGAAACATTTTAAATTACATGAATAGGTTCACCCATGGTTTAAAATTCAATAGGTATAAAGGGCATAGGGTACATATTTTTAGGGCAGTAGAACTATTCTGTATGATACTATCATAATGAATGACATTACACATTTGTCCAAACTCATAGAATGTCCAACACCAAGCGTGCCCCTGATGTAAACTGTGGACTCTGGGTGATAATGACTTGTCAGTGTAGGGTCATTGACTCTAACAAATGAACCACTCTGGTGGGCAATTTGATAATGGAAGAGGCTGTGTGTGTATGTGTGTGTGTGCGTAGGGGTAAGTGGGAAATCTGTGTACCTTCTGCTCAGTTTTGGAGTAAATCTCTAAAACTCTAAAAAATAAAATAAAAAGAAGAAAAGAGTATATAGGGTGATAAGTGTTCCCAGTTTCGCTTCTTGGAGGCAACCGTGTTACCAGTTTTTTATTAAAGGCCGTAGTTCTAGATCTGGACTTGGGGAGCTTGAGATTTCTGCCTGCGTCATGGCCTGGATGTACCAGTGGCTCAGCTAAGGAGTGGGGCGAGAGAGGCTTCTCTCTGCATTTGCACCCTGAGCATTTAATCCAAGAGAAAATGCCCAGCTACTTTTCAGACATCACACTTGGCTGCTGGTGCTTAGAGAAAGATAATGAGTTCAGAAACGGGGAGGAACAAGGGGTTAGGAGTGCTGTGATGTCCCCACCCACTAGATAGGCTCACTTTGGACACCAAGTTACAGGATTATCTCTGAATAAACTGTTTCAATTAAAATCTGAGCTCAGTGGAGAATAAACCAAGGACAGAGACTGCCACTTGCTTTCATCTCAGTTTGTGCTTCAGCGCAGAGAGGGAGGTGATGGGAACAGTACTGGCCTTAGGCAGCTGAAAATGTTCCTGGGTGCCCCAACTCCCCTTTCATTCTCTCTCCCACCTCCAGGCTGCTACCTTAGCTGCCCAATTGTCCTAGTGCTGCTGCTTAGCAGGTCAAAAGGATAGAAAAGATCTAGTGCGGATGAGGATGTGCGCAGTATAATGAAGGAAAAGGAGCCATACATTATTACTAATAGATTTTAGGAGTGGATTTTAGTACATAACTCAGCTACTTTCCTATGTAACTTAGACAAGTCACCTGTTCTCCCTGGGCCTCCTTGTGCCCAATGGAAAATGAGGAATAGGACTAGAGCAAGGATTAGGATTCCAGTGCTACAAGGGTCAGGCAGGTAATAGAAATGAGCCTGCAAGGTGAAGT